AAATTTTTGGCCAAGCAAAATAATTTTGGATTTAATTATTAGTTATGAAAGGCTAAAGTTGACCTTATCAGCCTAATAAACTCACAGAGTTTGAAAGTGATGTAAATCCAGTAGTTATCGTAGTTATCCTATTACACATTATCTCAGTGGGTATTTTATTTTATTAGCAAAATGATTCCACTGGAAGAGCCAGAGGCGGTCGCAACTGTTCCGTCTCATTTAGTAGTTCCACAATCGGAACACTTCCGTTCCTACTTCGATCTAACTTTGCGTTGTTACAAATTGTTAGTTATATCATTATATACGTCCCAAATATGAAATTTCAAGAGGTCTTGTAGCACACGTTATTTTTACATTTATTTTAAGTCATGCAGGCCAAAATACTGCGCAAACTTTGTTATGTTTTAATATTTTTAGTCTTAACTAGTAATTGAAAGTACTAGTGCACCTGTTGTTTGAACTCGAGCAATTGCAAAATATTAAAGGCGTTTTTCAAAGGAATAAGAGTCACCAATTTCCGTTGACTTAAAAGAGTCAACTCAAAGATAATCTAATCAATCACTCCACTCCAGTTATCGAATCTGGAAACGAACTAACTCTGAAAACGAACGCTCACTCCACTCCATCTATCGAAACTGAAAACGAACACTCTTGTGTGTATCTTGTGTTTACTATGAACAGCTGTAATTATTACAAATTATTTATCCGTTTAAGCAAACAAAATCTTTTCTTCATAGGAAATACATTGGGATTTTGATTGCCTGTGGGGCAAAGCCCGAAGACTTTTATTACAGGAATTTGTGAAAGAGGGCGTCTACACAAAAAATACTTAATTTTGACACCTTGTTTGTAAAAATCCGCCCATTATTAACGGATGAGCAGTGTTTCGTAGAAATCGCCTTCACGCATTATATATAAGGATTGTTATTTAAATATTAGTTAATATAATGTCTATGATTATGAGAACTATTGATCCATCAATGAGGTCAATGATTACACTACGTGTATTGCATTAGAACTATTTAACACATATAACGCAACAATTAATTTAAAATTTAACATACAAACTGTAAATATTCGTGTACAACACACTAATTCATTCTTCAACATTGTGTTTGAATGTTCAACAACAGTAGAGTGTTTGGATTGGACGTATTCGCACGGACGATCAATCAGTGTTTGGGAACGTTTCTATTGACCGAACTCAATCAACAGCTCTATCTACAAAAATTGTCCAGACCCTGTTTCGATAAACAATAAATTACTTCAGGTAGGTAAATAATTTAATCTTTAATGATTTGGCTATCTGATTCACATTGAAATGTGCTATTTTATGATCACAGTTATTAAAACTGTGATGTAGGCCTGCCAATCGAAAGAGTTAATAGAAAACCGGTTATCAATGTAGTGAAAATTTAAGCAAGATATATAGATACTAACACTCATTCGTCACTCATCTTCGTCAATAAAATATATAATCAGTAATGTAAAATTAATCATCGGTTTTTAAATTTTCCACACCATAACTAATCAAAAGGTTATACTATAAATAAGCTTGCACTATTTTTCCAAAGATGCGCATGTATCCTCATTAGCATTATATTTTATCAATACAATCAGAACATACTGTCAATAATTTTCAATACATCTTACATCTGTCATCTTCATCGCAGTCCTAGAGACCGGAGAATCGTCTCTTGTTTCTTTCTTCACCACTTCTTTTATAGCAGCATGTGTTAGTTGCGGTCTTCATAGAATTCTTTGATGATATGGTATGGCTTTTGAAGGAGATACTTTTTAACGCCAGGGTGACTTTTTTTGTTTTGTTCTTATTGTTTTTGGATGTTGTCACAGTAAGTTGTAGAGTTTTGCTTCCACTGCGGTGGTATGGGGGCTATGTTGGTTTTATTTGGCCTGTTTTTTTGGGTGTTGTAGTTTGATCTTGATCTGATCTTTTGATATTGATTGTGGCATGTTTCTCTGCTTTCAGGCAGATTTTGTTTTATGAAGTTGATTGTGTCAATTATGTATTGAGAGGTTAGGGTTAAGTTTTTTTTTTATGACAAAAAGGGGCTTAGTAAGTAGCATTATGTACTGATACTAATAATACTGGTAAAAATGTGTCTATATATATATATATATTTGTATAGTTAAGGTTGTATAACGTTGCACTGAAAAGGCCTATGGCACCATTACCGTAGCGGGAAACGGACATAGAAGCGAAAGTCATAAAACTGTCAACCCCTCGGCCAAAGAATTCTTCGGGGCTAGGACCGAAGAGCGCAGAGGTACCTTGCGCTCCTCGGTCCTAGCCGTGCAAGAAACTAACCCCCTACTTAAATGTAAGGGTTGAACAAGACAATGCTTGGGTCCACCCTGAGAGTATATTCCGTTAGTTGTGCCTCACTGACTACACCATTGAGTCAGGCATATTTTTATAGTGCAACTTATTACTAAACTATATTCTTTTTATAATGGTGTATCAACAAATTACCAAATTACCAACAAAGTACACTTTCACTTTCAAAAAATGCAGTGTTGTTTACTAACTTTCATTATAACGGTTAAAATTCCAATTGTAATAAAAAAGCTGATCTTTCAGTTGAATGTTGAACCCATTTTGATCGAAACCAATAGGCAAAAACGTTTATGAAAATATATTTTGAATAGGCTACTTTTTTTAATAATTGCGACTTAACTAAGGTAGGCGACTTGTGTCTTCATGGTGTGGATCTAAAATCAATTAATGAAATTGATTGTAAATTATTAAGTTTATTCAGATTTTAAGAACTGCCTTAAACAAACATAATCTTTGAAAAGTAAAGGGGCATTAAATTATTAGTTTTACCTTCGAAAAGGTTTGGAACCATATTAAAAATCACAAAATCGCAATGGGCCCCCTCATTATTAAATATACTATTTTTATGCAGGACACTGAAACGAATAAAAAAAGATAATACCCCACCGCAGCAAACCTGCAGACTAAGTGAATTTTCATCCACCTGGCTGGAATTCCACTAAATTATTCCCTTAAAATTGCCAGACTTATGTCATTAATTTTAATGAGTACGTAGGTTTGCTGCTACAGGGGGACAATAAAGTGTGTTTTTATTAAAATATCGATAGCTTAGTATGAAGTAAACAAATTTTCCAAATTGTATTAAAATATGTTCATAGACAAGCAAGCTACAGCACAGTTTATTTGTTCTCCATAAGCATAACATAGTATTTTAAATTTACACTTTTTTGAACTTTTTCTGTAACCGTTAGGAATACAACAACGCTTTATTTTCCTTATTTTTTCCTTGTTTGTGACTTTTGTTATTCATTCTGTTTAAAGATCTTTCAATATAAAAAAAATGTATTTTTTGTTTGAAGTTAATTATTTATTCTCAGTCTTTTGTCAAGGAGTTACTTTCTGTTATTTATTTACAAACATAAATTAATGTGTCAACCAAACAGACGGTTTAGTAACCATTGTTTTGTGTGCACATAAGAATGATCATTGTGTAATGTTCCAAATTGTACAATAAAGCACATTTCATTTCATTTCATTTCATTTCATTTCATTCATTTGATTCATTTTTGTACAACAACGCTTTATATGTTGAAGGGTGGTGGGTCACAATGGCTAAATGGTTTGTTTTTTTAGCTCAACAAAATGGTCTGGAAAGAAATTGCAAAAGGTTATGTTTTCAGGGAGAAATGGGAATACCCCATTTTACCCCATAAAACCTTCCATAACCCATGATCCCACAGTCTGATCATGCTGGTTCGCGAACTCGTTCGAATAAATGTATGTTTACACGTTTATACCAAATTTCATCCAAATCGGATCATTATTGCTCGAGTTATCGTGCTAACGGACACATATACTGGGTGTTTTTTTTAAACTTGCATCTTTATTTATGTAAAAACCGCAATAGATAGAAATATTCAGTTTGCGGGAATCATCTATTGACGTAGGAGGCACAATTTTTTTGAATTCAACGTTACATTCACATTCCCCCCCCCCCTTCCCTCCCTGCCACCAACTTATTTTTTTTAAATAGCAAGGTACCCCTTGTGACATATCAAATGAAAGACCACGAAAAAAGAAAATGTTTGATGAAAATTTTTTTTTTATCGCAAGGTACCCCTTTGTGACATATCAAATGAAAGAGTATGAAAAAAGAAAATGTTTGGTGAAAAAAATTGAAAATCGGCTCATGAATTTGTGAGATAATCCCCCCCCCTTTTCCCCTACCCATAACTTGTTTTATAATAGCAAGGTACCCCCCCCTTGTGACATATCAAATGAAAAATAAATTTCACCAATAATTTTCTTTTTTCATGCTCTTTCATTTGATATGTCACAAGGGGTACCTTGCTATTTAAAAAAAATAAGTTGGGGGAAGGGGGGGGGGAAAGGGGGGGATGTGAATGTAACGTTGAATTCAAAACAATTGGGCCACCTACGTCAATAGATGATTCCCGCAAACTGCATATTTCTATCTATTGCGGTTTTTACATAAATAAAGCTGCAAGTTTTTTTAAAAACACCCTGTATATAAATACGTGATATTTATGAATTTGATCGGATGGTGTTTTTGTGATAGTGGTTACATGGTGACACTCATGGCCTCTGGGGGCTTCAAAACGAAAAAGTAAATTCGTCCCGGGTCCAGGTCTTACTATGAGACCTACGGCAATAGCTTATTCCCCATATTATCATATGGGAAATTCGCTAAGAACGTGTAAAATCACATAGATGTAGACGAATCACACGGTTCTTTTACGGAAATTTTAGTGTTAATTTTGCAGGTTGACAACCTGAATTCGTCAAATGATAATTTGTATTTGCTCGGTAGTAGTTGATTCTTGTACAGGGTGGGGCAGAGTGGACTCCCTAGTTTCAATCCGTCGCTGAAGAGCGTGTACGCAAGTTAGCGGAGTGGGGGAGGTTTCATGTGGTGGGGGGAAAGACGCCATTGTTGATTCGTTGATTGTTGGTAGTCACCATGCGGTGGACTGGCGAGCATCGTGGTTTCGTAGTCGAAACGTTTTTTAAAAATAAGGATAGTGTTGTGGCGACCCAGCGTGCATTTCGAAGACGGTTTGGTTTGAATCGTCATGATAGTGTTCCCGATGCTAAAACCATAAGGAAATGGATTACAAGTGTACGGGCGACCGGATCTGCACTGCCTAGAAAACCAGTCGGACAACCAAAGAGTGTGAGGACACCAGAGAACATAATGGCGGTGAGAGCGTCTATTGAACAATCTCCATCGCGCTCTGCGCGGAAACATGCTGCTGCTCTTGGAATGTCGGCCAGAACGTTGAGGCGAATTTTACACTCAGACCTTAATTTACACCCGTATAAGATGATGGTTGTTCAAGAATTGACGCCAGCAGATTTTGTTAAACGTACAGATGCTTGCAATGCAATACTGGCTTCTTTACAACCCGGCACTATTCTGTGGTCTAGTGATGAGGCACATTTTCACCTCTCAGGCACAGTAAATAAACAAAATTTTCGTTACTGGGCAGCTGAAAACCCACGAACTCTTCACCAAATACCTCTTCATTCTCCAAAAGTGACTGTGTGGTGTGCTGTGTCCTCCAAAGGCATAATTGGCCCCTACTTTTTTGAATCGGAAGGTGCAACCGTTACTGTGAACGCTGTGCGCTATTGTCAGATGTTGGAGAACTTTTTCTTCCCCAGAATTGAAGAGCATGGTGAGGAAAATAATATGGAAGCCTTTTGGTTTCAACAGGATGGTGCCACGGCTCATACCGCCCGTCGCTCTCGCCAACTTCTGCAAGAACGGTTTCCCGACCGCTTGATCTCATTACGAGGGGATGTTTCATGGCCCGCTCGCTCCCCCGATCTAAGCCCATGTGATTATTTTCTTTGGGGTTACCTCAAATCTGAGGTTTACAAAGTTCGACCAAGGACCTTGGAAGCCCTTAAGGAAGCAATTGTTGACGTTATCACTGGAATAACGCCAGAAATGCTGCGTAGAGTTTTTGAAAACTTCATTGAACGGCTGAATATGTGCATCGCTCGTCAAGGTCGTCACCTGGACGATATCATTTTCAAAACTTAATGAAAGATAAATGGCATTGTATTTAGATTTCGGAAATAAAAAACTTTGGTAATTATCTTGTATGGTTTTTATACAGTTAACCGATCAAATCAGGGAGTCCACTCTGCCCCACCCTGTATATAAGCATAGATAAAACATGTGTTGGTTAGTCTATGATATAAGGCTGGCAAAAGAAAATTGAAAATTATAAGTACAAGTAATTACTAACTAAAAATTATAACTTTAACTGCATGAAAATCAAATGCCCAAAAAATAGGTTTTTTTATTTCTTAAAGGATATTTCTTTAGATAGGGGTTTTTTAAATGGAATTTATATGAGAACTTGCAGTTAAGAGGGATAGAACTGTTGACCTTTTTGGACGAAGTATGCAATCATAATATTGCTATAATTTGTAAAATAAACCCCATTCAGCAAGTGATTAGTTAATACCAGTACCTCATTCGTCAATCTTTGATGGTAAATGGCATAACGACCACAACTAAAATCTGTCAGTTGCCACTCATGCTGGTCACAATAATTTTCCATTATTAGTATGTTTAAAGTTGACCACATTTGATGCGGGCACTGGTCACCCAGTATCGATATGGCCCAAAGCCGTGTACATACACTACAGCACAACCACTTAAAAAATGTAATCCTCGGCCCCAGCTGTGGGATGGTCAAGTAGCCTGGGGAGGATTTGTGTAATCACGTCACCGCTATCACATGACTCATTAGTGTCCTACCACTGGTCAGTTACAATCCTCTACATCCTCAGTATGTACTAGCTATCATACATCACACACATTTACATGTAATCCTAGGCCACAGCTGTGGGATGGTCAAGTGCTCTCTGGGGAGGCTTTGTGTAATCACGTCACCACTATCACATGACTCATTAGTGTCCTACCACTGGTCAGTTACAATCCTCTACATCCTCAGTATGTACTAGCTATCATACATCACACACATTTACATGTAATCCTCGGCCACAGCTGTGGGATGGTCAAGTGCTCTCTGGGGAGGCTTTGTGTAATCACGTCACCACTATCACATGACTCATTAGTGTCCTACCACTGGTCAGTTACAATCACATCCTCAGTATGTACTAGCTATCATACATCACACACATTTACATGTAATCCTCGGCCACAGCTGTGGGATGGTCAAGTGCTCTCTGGGGAGGCTTTGTGTAATCACGTCACCGCTATCACATGACTCATTAGTGTCCTGCCACTGGTCAGTTACAATCACATCCTCAGTATGTACTAGCTATCATACATCACACACATTTACATGTAATCCTCGGCCACAGCTGTGGGATGGTCAAGTGCTCTCTGGGGAGGCTTTGTGTAATCACGTCACCGCTATCACATGACTCATTAGTGTCCTGCCACTGGTCAGTTACAATCACATCCTCAGTATGTACTAGCTATCATACATCACACACATTTACATGTAATCCTCGGCCACAGCTGTGGGATGGTCAAGTGCTCTCTGGGGAGGCTTTGTGTAATCACGTCACCGCTATCACATGACTCATTAGTGTCCTACCACTGGTCAGTTACAATCCTCTACATCCTCAGTATGTACTAGCTATCATACATCACACACATTTACATGTAATCCTCGGCCACAGCTGTGGGATGGTCAAGTAGCCTGGGGAGGATTTGTGTAATCACGTCACCACTATCACATGACTCATTAGTGTCCTACCACTGGTCAGTTACAATCCTCTACATCCTCAGTATGTACTAGCTATCATACATCACACACATTTACATGTAATCCTCGGCCACAGCTGTGGGATGGTCAAGTAGCCTGGGGAGGATTTGTGTAATCACGTCACCACTATCACATGACTCATTAGTGTCCTACCACTGGTCAGTTACAATCACATCCTCAGTATGTACTAGCTATCATACATCACACACATTTACATGTAATCCTCGGCCACAGCTGTGGGATGGTCAAGTAGCCTGGGGAGGATTTGTGTAATCACGTCACCACTATCACATGACTCATTAGTGTCCTACCACTGGTCAGTTACAATCCTCTACATCCTCAGTATGTACTAGCTATCATACATCACACACATTTACATGTAATCCTCGGCCACAGCTGTGGGATGGTCAAGTAGCCTGGGGAGGATTTGTGTAATCACGACACCACTATCACATGACTCATTAGTGTCCTACCACTGGTCAGTTACAATCCTCTACATCCTCAGTATGTACTAGCTATCATACATCACACACATTTACATGTAATCCTCGGCCACAGCTGTGGGATGGTCAAGTGCTCTCTGGGGAGGCTTTGTGTAATCACGTCACCGCTATCACATGACTCATTAGTGTCCTACCACTGGTCAGTTAGAATCCTCTACATCCTCAGTATGTACTAGCTATCATACATCACACACATTTACATGTAATCCTCGGCCCCAGCTGTGGGATGGTCAAGTGCTCTCTGGGGAGGCTTTGTGTAATCACGTCACCGCTATCACATGACTCATTAGTGTCCTACCACTGGTCAGTTACAATCCTCTACATCCTCAGTATGTACTAGCTATCATACATCACACACATTTACATGTAATCCTCGGCCCCAGCTGTGGGATGGTCAAGTGCTCTCTGGGGAGGCTTTGTGTAATCACGTCACCGCTATCACATGACTCATTAGTGTCCTACCACTGGTCAGTTACAATCCTCTACATCCTCAGTATGTACTAGCTATCATACATCACACACATTTACATGTAATCCTCGGCCACAGCTGTGGGATGGTCAAGTAGCCTGGGGAGGATTTGTGTAATCACGTCACCGCTATCACATGACTCATTAGTGTCCTGCCACTGGTCAGTTACGATCCTCTACATCCTCAGTATGTACTAGCTATCATACATCACACACATTTACATGTAATCCTCGGCCACAGCTGTGGGATGGTCAAGTACTCTCTGGGGAGGCTTTGTGTAATCACGTCACCACTATCACATGACTCATTAGTGTCCTACCACTGGTCAGTTACGATCCTCTACATCCTCAGTATGTACTAGCTATCATACATCACACACATTTACATGTAATCCTCGGCCACAGCTGTGGGATGGTCAAGTGCTCTCTGGGGAGGATTTGTGTAATCACGTCACCACTATCACATGACTCATTAGTGTCCTACCACTGGTCAGTTACGATCCTCTACATCCTCAGTATGTACTAGCTATCATACATCACACACATTTACATGTAATCCTCGGCCACAGCTGTGGGATGGTCAAGTAGCCTGGGGAGGATTTGTGTAATCACGTCACCGCTATCACATGACTCATTAGTGTCCTACCACTGGTCAGTTACGATCCTCTACATCCTCAGTATGTACTAGCTATCATACATCACACACATTTACATGTAATCCTCGGCCACAGCTGTGGGATGGTCAAGTGCTCTCTGGGGAGGCTTTGTGTAATCACGTCACCGCTATCACATGACTCATTAGTGTCCTACCACTGGTCAGTTACAATCCTCTACATCCTCAGTATGTACTAGCTATCATACATCACACACATTTACATGTAATCCTCGGCCCCAGCTGTGGGATGGTCAAGTAGCCTGGGGAGGATTTGTGTAATCACGTCACCGCTATCACATGACTCATTAGTGTCCTGCCACTGGTCAGTTACGATCCTCTACATCCTCAGTATGTACTAGCTATCATACATCACACACATTTACATGTAATCCTCGGCCACAGCTGTGGGATGGTCAAGTAGCCTGGGGAGGATTTGTGTAATCACGTCACCGCTATCACATGACTCATTAGTGTCCTACCACTGGTCAGTTACGATCCTCTACATCCTCAGTATGTACTAGCTATCATACATCACACACATTTACATGTAATCCTCGGCCACAGCTGTGGGATGGTCAAGTGCTCTCTGGGGAGGATTTGTGTAATCACGTCACCACTATCACATGACTCATTAGTGTCCTACCACTGGTCAGTTACGATCCTCTACATCCTCAGTATGTACTAGCTATCATACATCACACACATTTACATGTAATCCTCGGCCACAGCTGTGGGATGGTCAAGTAGCCTGGGGAGGATTTGTGTAATCACGTCACCGCTATCACATGACTCATTAGTGTCCTGCCACTGGTCAGTTACGATCCTCTACATCCTCAGTATGTACTAGCTATCATACATCACACACATTTACATGTAATCCTCGGCCACAGCTGTGGGATGGTCAAGTAGCCTGGGGAGGATTTGTGTAATCACGTCACCGCTATCACATGACTCATTAGTGTCCTACCACTGGTCAGTTACGATCCTCTACATCCTCAGTATGTACTAGCTATCATACATCACACACATTTACATGTAATCCTCGGCCACAGCTGTGGGATGGTCAAGTGCTCTCTGGGGAGGCTTTGTGTAATCACGTCACCACTATCACATGACTCATTAGTGTCCTACCACTGGTCAGTTACGATCCTCTACATCCTCAGTATGTACTAGCTATCATACATCACACACATTTACATGTAATCCTCGGCCACAGCTGTGGGATGGTCAAGTAGCCTGGGGAGGATTTGTGTAATCACGTCACCGCTATCACATGACTCATTAGTGTCCTGCCACTGGTCAGTTACGATCCTCTACATCCTCAGTATGTACTAGCTATCATACATCACACACATTTACATGTAATCCTCGGCCACAGCTGTGGGATGGTCAAGTGCTCTCTGGGGAGGCTTTGTGTAATCACGTCACCGCTATCACATGACTCATTAGTGTCCTGCCACTGGTCAGTTACGATCCTCTACATCCTCAGTATGTACTAGCTATCATACATCACACACATTTACATGTAATCCTCGGCCACAGCTGTGGGATGGTCAAGTAGCCTGGGGAGGATTTGTGTAATCACGTCACCGCTATCACATGACTCATTAGTGTCCTACCACTGGTCAGTTACGATCCTCTACATCCTCAGTATGTACTAGCTATCATA